TGCAGTTGCTCCTGTACCTTCTTCCAAGTGGTAGGAAGCATCAACATTCAATTTCTTTATTCTTGGTTCAGGTCTGGACCATCTTTCTTCCACAACATTACCTGACTGTTTCCTCACCCTTAAGGCATTCCCAGTAATGGCAAGGATTGAAATTGCACTGCTTCCAGTTGGGTATACCTTTCCTTCGTGCGTTACTTGGCGTCGTAGCCACCAGATGTACCAATAGCCGACCGCAATTGTTTCCCTGATGCCAATTGCTTGTGTACCGGGCATTACACCTCCGACACTGCAGATTAGGTGTTCAAGAATTTCTGAACCAGACCGGTCAGCTAATATATGTGCTGTAATGCATTCATAAATTCCAAGGTTAGTCCATATCTGCACAGCTAGCGTACATGTAAATAAGAGATGCTTAACATCTTCAGCTCCTTGCTTGCAGATTAGACTATTAGAAGGGAAAGTGCAAGTTTTATTTCTTTGGTTTTCTGTTTCTTCTCTGGTTTTTTATTTTTTTCTCCAAGTTTTTCATTTGTTTCTTCAGTTTTTTTATTTTCTTTTCTCTTTGGTTTATTTTGTTTCTTTTTTAATTTTCATTTTTAAAATTTTCTTTCTTTCTTTGTGTTTTCATAACATTCTTATATACGTGATCAATATTTATTTAATAAGTGATCAATATTTTTTTGTATAACTCTTCAAAATTGTTCAAACGCTTATTCAATATTTTTATACTTATTTGACATTTTTCAAATACTTGTTCAGCATTTTCCAAATACTCGTTCAAATTTTTTTAATACTTATTCAACATTTTTTTCAAATATGTGTTCAATACTTTTAATACTTGTTCAATATTTTTCATATACTCGTTCAACATTTTCTAATATGTATTCAACATTTTTCAAATATTTTCTCAACATTTTTAAATACTTGTTCAACATTTTTTTAATTCTTGTTCAACATTTTTTTAATTCTTGTTCAACATTTAAAGTAAATACAAGCAAAACACAAAAAAAGGAAACAGGCATGTGCTGCCCCGCGCGTGGGCTGGCTCATATGTTCGCTCGCTTCAGCGAGTCAGAAGGCTCGACTCGCTGAACGCGAGGAATAGTCGAGCCCGTTTGCGTTTCGCGAAATCTGAGGGGTAGTAGAGGGGTGAGGGCCGGGAAGAGGAAACGCATGGCTGGCAGGCGGGAGACGCCCGGCACGTTCGTACTATACAACACGATACATCTAATCGGCCGTCTGTCTCAGCATGTTTCTCTTCCTTTTTACGAGGACTATGTACTCAGCATAAAATGTGACTGGCTCGGTCTTTTGAAGGTGTTCATAGTGCGTGTGTGCGTTCATAGAGATAAGTGTATGCATGTTTATATGAGTGTTTGCGTTTGTACTGTGTTTAAAGCATAGGATGTGACCGGTTGTACTTTTTTTCGTGGAAGAGCATACAACTCAATATACTGAAGTAACTCCAACATACACGACACCCCTGATAATAAAAAAGAAAAGTACAAGTTGATCTCTGGGGAGTCCACCACCTTTAATGACTGGAAACCAATCTGTGATTGGATGATTAGAGTGACAGTGATATCCTCAGCCAATTAGGGTTTAAGTCCTGGTGCTTGTATTATTTATGGATTTATTTCAAGATTTTCGGTGATGCGCTTTCAGTGGGAGAAGACGTTTCCGTTGACGACGAGGCACCTACGATGACTTCGCAAATCCCAAGATGATATGCCGGCTCAGTCTTTCAAAGGTGCTCATAAAAATAGAGTGTACGTGTGTGCGTTCATAGAGGTGAGTGTATATGCGTACGTATGAGCGCTTGTATGTGTACTGTGTTAGAAAAATAAGTAGATGACGCGCCGCCGCCACCGTCGCTGCTCCACACTTAGCCGGCAAACTTTTTTTTTACGGTTTCCTTGACGGATGGGAAGTCATCCATACTAAGGCCAAATGGACCAACACCCCTGAACTGAAGACGTCGCTGGGTACGCAAAACAACACACGAAGCACTCTGAAGATCATTGACCTCATATCCGCCATGCTCGATAGTCGACGTTTAAGAGCATGAACACAATCAGCCACCAGCAATCCAAGAGCAAGCACCTGAGCAGTCATCGTCCTCTGCAAAGCAACGCCACCACGCACAACAGTGAGTAGCAGACAACACAACTGAAGAACAGAAGACGCCGGAGCACACAACCAGTAGACAAATCCAATCCCCGTGAACCTTACAAAACCCGAGGTGAGATGTATCGATATCGTTTTGAGTCATACACATGCTCACTATACTGATCTTTCCGTTACCGATTTTGTTCTCTTTTCTCGTTGACATGTGCCGGCATCCCCGTAATATATGCATTTATGTCTGGCCAGACGATGATGAATGTCGTCACACCAAGAGGGCCCTAAGAATATCTCTTCATCATCGAAGAAGCAAACTCCACTCTCGAGCTATCTAGTCCATTGTCAAACTTTTCGATGAACTTGCAAGTTGTTGTTATAATCACCGTGTTACAGATGACGTTTGAGCAACCCCAAAGTCCACCGTACGGTAATAACTGACTACGATACTCTCATGGTCTAAGAAACTAAAACACACGTTAACACTCCGTGTTATAATTTTGAAGTATAACAAACAAGTTTGGATCGATTCAATATGAACGTTCTTCCAACGTCATATTCTCAATGTTGTTTTAGGACTATCGTTACACTTAACGATATCCTAAAATCCGGAAAACATAATCACTAACAACACTTGAGCTAGTCTTACAGGCAAGATTAGGAAGCTAATTTTACCGTTCATTATTCCACACGTGCATATGAGTTTTGACTGAATTGCATATTCCGGGATTATAGTAGTTATAGCACAAAATATAAACTCTTAATTATGAACATGAAAATATAATAATACAATATTACTGTCTCTAGGGCATATATCCAAGGGGAGGAAGCTTGGCAATGATGCCTCCGCAATGAATTTGTCCGATAAGACACAATTGAAATGATCAAGTATCTTAGTGAGCGACTGAATCTCATGAGCCTACTCAACCACGGAGCGGTCATCGGTCATCTTGTAGTCATGATATTATTCCATGATATACAATTCAATTCTTACGTCTGAGACCCCAGACTTGGCCTCAAGTGCACCCCGCATATCTTTATTGACCATGATGGTCATGAAGGGATCGACAATCTTCTCGCCAAAAACAGTCAGAACAGCACCTCGAAAGAGGGTGTTCGTAGACTGGAAAGCTTGCTCCTGTTCAGCAGTAAGCTCTACCTTTGGCTTGCCCTTAGAGGCGTGAAAACAATTCATGGTGGTAAGCCAAAGAACTGCCCCTGCATGCCACCTCGTATAATTCACACCCTCAAACGTAGCAGACTTGAAAGTTGCAGCAATGCAATTGGAGAAAATTGCCTACACATATCAGGTTTTTATATTGTTAAATAATTAGGCATTTTTTGTTTAGTTTAATCCAGAAAAACAATAGGTAAAAGATGATCAACATGATAGAGAGAATAATTGAGACATGCAAAAGATTGTTGAAACTAGTTGTGCAATCGAGATCAAGTAACATATCCGTATGGATTGCTACTAGTAGTACTCGAAACCCTAATCCTAACAAAGAGGACAAGATGACATACAGAGCAGCGGCAGAAGATGCAGATGTGCCGATTGTCATGTCGCCGAAAAGGTTGTTGACGTCGGGAATAAGTCGTCCCTGGGGAACTCGTCGTCGTCATTTGCAGCCACGTTGAAGAAGAATTCAGCAGTCATGCAAGGGCACTCCCCACAAATCCGACCGCCTCTCTCCCGTACCAGATCACAAGAGGCGGGGCTTCGGAGGTGTGTTGTCTCATTCCCCGGTGCATGCCGAGGAGCGAGATGGAAAAGAAGTAGGCGACGCAAGATTCTGGAACGAGACGAGGAGTTGTGTATTCTGCCTGTAGAGGAGCAACCTCTTATATAGGAGAGATGAAACCAACCCCTCATTAGTAGAAGTGCAACGGACGCAATAAACATCACTAATTGTTCAGTTTGTTCTCTTATTTATGCGTTAATTGTTTCAACTTCTTTCTTGCGTGACAAAAATAAAGCAGCGCATACACGTGGCATAGGCCCTAGCTCGGCTTTACTCGATCACGAAACAAGATACGCACGTGAGGCGTGGCGGGCGGAGCAGGAGCGCGCATGTATGTGCTCTCTTCTCAAGCTCTTAGTGGTATGTGGAACAACTCCCCTTATAAGTTGGCCTCACACACTCTTCACTAGCCGGGTGTGGCTAAACTTTTCACACCACCTTGTCATTCATGAATGGGTCTCATGGGTCTCTGGGATTTACAATAATTTATTAGTAGAAAAATCTGAATTATTATGTGGGCTAGGCCCAATAATTTCAACAATATGATGTTTATCTTTGGCCGTGTTGGACTTGTTGAATTTGTGCATCATGTTATGTATAGGCTGGACATTCTTTGAATGCGGTTATATCATCTCGGTATATCAATTCAATTCGATGTTCTTTATTGAAAAAATCTCTCAACGAAGGCAAGACGCTTAATTCTGCACGCGCATCACGCAGAGTCATTACAGCCATACATTGTTCTGCGCAAACGGAGGCCAGGAGGGAAAACAGCAGCACAATCAAAAGCGCGGTTCAGGGAGCGCAAATGCGCAATTTTCCCATCCTCTAGTGCCCATAATATTTAATAACTTATTCTTATGCAAGTCTTGGTAAATGAATAAGAAGAATCAGGTAGCATGTCATACAAGGTACGTACATCTGTACTACTACTAGAGCTTTTCAGCTGGAAAACATATCTATACCGGCACGGTTTATACAACCTCCCATCATATCATAACTTAACATCTCCAGCGCCTGAAGCGCTCCGCATGTCACCGATCCCTCCATCACCATCATCATCATCATCAGCAGCAGCAGCAGCAGCAGCGACGTTACATACATAGGTACACGGCTAAGGGCCAGCCATGTCGACTCTCACTTCATGATCGGGGGAGAGGCGTAGGGGCCGTTGAGCCAGCCGTTGGCCACCATGCGGTAGGCGGCCTCGGTCATGTGGATGCCGTCCCAGCTCACGTACGCCGACGGGTTGGAGCACACGCTCGCGCCCGCCTCGCCGCACTTCTTCTTCAGGTTGAAGTTGTAGGCGCCCGTCCCTCCGGCGCCGCAGCACGCCTGCAATGCCGTGCTGAAGCCTGCAACGGCCGTCAGGTTCTTCAGTTAGATCATGCCACATGCCAAATAAATCATGCTGATCGTATGGTGATCTTGTGATGAATAACTACTGTCAGCGTGCAACTTTGGACCCATCTTCACATACCGAATTTTCCGGGGCTCACGACGAACTGCATTGCGGCTTTGAAGTAGTCGCCGTACATGATTTTGGTCTTCGGGTACTTCTTCTGAAGCGCGTCGAGCTGCTGCTTGAGCTCCCTGTTGTGGTGGAAGGCCAGACGGTTGTATCTCCGGAGGCACCCCGTGCGCGCGTTGTAGTCGGACTTCTTGCTGCTGTTGTAGAGAGTCAGGTACAACGGGAAGCACCCGATCGGAAGAATTCCAGGCACCAACAGGTCCGTCGCGCCAAGCTCGATCAATTTCTGAAAGAACAATGAAAAAATGAGCGTAAGACTATCAAAATTCCCATATGTTTATGCACGTATAGTGATCTAAACAATTAGTGTACAAAGTAGTACTCCCTCCGTCTTAAAGTTAGTACAAAGTTAAGTCACTTATTTTGGGACGGAGGGAGTATATTCCAAACAGCACAACCGTTTGAAACCGTTATATTATACTGACAAGCTAGTTTAGCAGAGAAGTACGCCCTCTGTAACAGCACAACGTTACAGAAGGTCTTACATTAGTTTACAGAGGGAGTACTAATAACTAATAAGTAACAGCAATGCAACACTGACAGTACTGTAATTTTTGAAGATCTTTTCACTCTCATTGAAGTGTGTGGACTGGACACTAACCAATTTTTTAGAGCCATGTCATGTGACAGCCGTTTCATGATTGCCATGCACATAAAAGATGATTCCTCATCTTCTTTGCCAGCCATGCCCAATCTCTTCATTGTGCAATCATGTCAGATTGACACGAATTACCCATCGGGACACCACATGTGCCACTACACTAAGCAACAATCTGATGTACTGTGATGGAGCAACTCTATCCGGGACCAAAGTACAGACCCCGTGGCATCACGAATATCTATCTGGTGTTTGATTTATGCCGGCGAAAAAAAGACCCCTTTTCCAAACCAGTGTAACAATAGCAGTTTCATGTTAATTGCCCAGTCACAAGATTCTCCACTTGTGAGAAAGATACCAAAAGTGTCACATGGCATCGCCCCTATTTTAATGTCTGCAAATGTTGGTAGGCAACCATCATACTGAGATCCCTAGATCCAATCCAAATCCAATCAAATGTGTATTGGCCCTATCAGTCTATCACTCGCCTACCACCACGCCACATTGCAGCCAAAGCTTAGGTAGTGACACTGTGCCTACCTACTAAACGAAACCACTACTCGGAAAAAAAAACTGAACCAAACTACTCGGTCTCCTAACTGAACACTCCCTCGTAGAACTGAAATCTATATGGTCTCAAGGCAATTCGAGGGCACGGCCCGAATAATCCGTGCCCCCTGATCGTCTCCATGCCGTTTTTTCGGCCGCTCATGCGTTTGTCATGAATTCCACCTTGCCAGCAAACATCCAGGTATGACAGATGTGTGTTTGCCCGGAATTCGCACCCATGACACACTTGCATGATCCCCCTGAAACTGGAATCTTCAAGTACATTGCACACCTGGCGCTACTTTTCTACTTTGGCCATGTGTGTGTGTGCATTCCGTTGGATTTTCTACGGCTTCTATATGATGCAATGCCAAGGTGACCCTACATTTCTACCTCCATGGGTTTTAGTTTCATACCTCGACGCCGTTGGCGATGGCCTTGGCGACCAGCGGCACGTAGGTCTTCACCTCGGAGAAGGCGACGCCGGAGAAGAGAGGAGCGTTGTAGTCGTTCCCCCCGAACTCTCCCACCACGAACAGGGACTTGCTGAAGTAGTCCCTGCACTCTGCAGTTGGCACCACAAAATGAAACTCTGAACTTGAGATCTACTGACGGTAGCATCACATTTCAAGAAGGCTTAAGAGGTCGGCGCCGGACCTTTCTCCGATTTGCAGAGCGACGGCTTCATCTTCTGGAGCCAGCCGATCTGGGTGTTAATGGAGCCGGTGTTCCAGATGCGCTGGTCGATGCCGTGGGCCTTGAAGAAAGAGTACTCCAGCGCCGTGGCGCCCGTGATGGCGAAGTTGGCCCCCTTCTTGAAGTCCTTGCCATGCGCCTGCGACGCCGGCGGCAGGGGCAGCCCGAAGTGCTCGGCTGCAAATTTGACAGAAGATTCCCGTCAATAAAAAGGAAATTTTACACGGCATACAACGTGGTGATGTTCGTTATGCTTGTGAAAAAGACGCATAGCAATTCACAGTCTAGCAATGCAATGGCGTACTAGTCAATTGGCGGTAACAGTAAATCACAAAGTTCTTTCAGTAAAAAAATTCGGTCTGCTTTAGTAGTATATCTTTACATCTTTACAGAGGGAAAAGAAAAGGAGCTTTAATTCGAATCACTACTTTGCTGTGGCAGAGTAGACAATGGAGGCAGCAATAACTCACTGTTGCAAAGCAGCAGCTCTTTTTACAAGCTTATTTTACCACTCAATTTTATCTTATCTTCTTCTCTGAAAGGAGAACTTGGGCCTTTTTTCTACTACCTGATTAGCTTTGCATCAAGAGAAATTTTTTGAACACTCTAGCTGGTTGAGTAGGAGTAGCACGCTAGACAAGAGTCAATTTCATCATGACCAAGGTCAGAGCATGGTCAAACGCTCTAGCTGTGGCTCCAAATCAAGCGCTTTAAAAAACACAGACATTTCCATGGGGTACCTCAAAGCTCATAAAATAAGCTCTACTGCACCAAAAGACCAAGAGGAGAAGGAAAAGGACGGCACGGGGAGCCAGGACGAGCTACAGGCCATCTATCCATCCATCCGGGACGGCGGCCGGCGCAGGAATGCGGGATTCGCGGGCGAAGGGATAGGAGAGGAGAGGAGGGAATGGTAGGTACCGAGGAAGTCGACGACGACGCGGCCGTTGGAGCAGCGGCCGGTGGGGCGGCCGAAGAAGGTCATGCCGTAGGGCGACCGCGCGGTGGTGAGCGACTTGGGGATGCCGTCGACGATGAGGTTGCCGGCGTCGGAGAGCGAATCCCCGAAGCTGAAGACGGCCCCGTACGACTTCTTGGCGTGCCTGGCGTGGGCGCCGCCCGAGAGGCACGCCGCCGCGACGAGGACGAGAAGCAGGCCCCGATGCTCCATTGCCGCTGCCGCTGCTATGGGTGTGGGTGTGGGCGTCGGCGGGCGACGCGCATGTGCTGCGGGAGAGAGAGGGAAAGATGGGATCCTTTGCTTGTGTGGCGCCTGCTTTATAACTGCTGAGGGCTGAGCAGCGTGACCGCGGGGGAGTGAGGTGAGGTGAGGTGAGTGAAGTGTGTGCCGCTGCCGCTGGCGCTGGCCTGTGGCGGGCGGGCGGGCGGGATGCGCGGGCGGCACTGTTCGGCATGACCGACCGGATGACGCTCGCGCTCGCGCGGCCGGCCCAGCTGATCTACTAACCATAAGCAACCAGAAAAACGCGGCAAATCCTATCCTTTTCTGCGGCAAATCCTGTTCATCAATGTCACTCATGCCAAATCCGCGCGACCAAGTTAGGCGCCACCAATTACTGCCGCTTGCCAGTCTGAGACGAGCAGAGGCGACTGTGAGCAGCCGAAGAGTGGACTTTCTTGGCTTGGCTTGGCTACCGCCTCCGTAAAGACGAGCGCTCGTACCAACCAAAGTAACTCCACTATAATAACTCTCCTCCCTGCACCCCGGGCCCCGGTGGTATTTCTCATTCCTGGCGTTGATCATAGGTTCGCAGGCCATAATGAGATGCTGCTACCACCTCTCTCTCTCTCTCTCTCTCATATCCTCCGCCATTATTAACCGGATCTGTGCGGAGCCAGGTCCGGCCGTCCAGGCTCGGTCGCAAGGGCGCGCACGGGTCTTGACGCTCGGGGGAAAATGGAGCTCCGGCTAGGCTCCGATCCATGTCGTCTTTTTTACTTGCATGGCAGCACCGGTCCCTGTCGTCGTCGTCGTCGTCGTCGTCTTGATGACCTCGAGGTTACCTTCCGCGCCCGTTTCTTGTTGAACCGCCCATTAATTGGCGCCCAGGCCTTCGAGTCGGCGCCCTCGTGGTTTCCCTGAATCGCGCAAGCTTTGTCTTTGCCCCTGTGTCCAGTGTGCGTGCGCGCGGTAGCATAGTACGTTTTGGAGATTCCTGGCTCGCGGCCTCTGCCGTCGGATCGGCTTCGACCTGATCCGGGCCGTTCGATTGGAACGTGCTGCGTCCAGTTTTCAGCGCTCACGGGTCCAGCATGCGGGCTTCATTAGTTTTCTAATGACGGAGTTTAGGGTTTAGGCGGCTTATTATTATGAGTTGTGGCACTCCATCCTCGCCATGACGCCAACGACACTCTGTACCAACCTGGTCGGCACCCAGCACCCACGTCTCACCAAGTGAGTGAGTGATCTGCCAGAGCATAAGGCCAACTCCAAGGCGCGACCCCATCTGTTCACACGTGTCCGTTTTAGATAAAACGGACGAATAGCATGGCCCAACGTGCGGCCTCAAACGGACAAATGTCCGGATTCCGTCCGTTTTTGACTCATCCCGGTCCAAACTTGCGCTCAGTTTGAGGTGAAAAGGATGCGCGCGGACGGCCTGGACGCACGTCCTTGTCCCCCCTGGCCCGCCTGTCGGGGACACTAGCAGTCCCTCCGCTCCCAACGCTTCCATCCTCTCTCTCCCGCCCCGCCCCGTCGCCGGCGTCGCCGCTATTCTCCGGCCGCCTCCTCACCGTGCAGCCCCTGGCCATCCCTACCAAACCACGTCTCGACATGGCTGCCACCGCGCCCGCGCTTTGGCCGTAGTTTTGGCCGTCGATCGGAGGTTTGGCTGTCACCGTCTTTGCCGGTCGCAGAGGGGAGACGACCGCCGGCGACGTACCACGGCGGCCTCGGCAGCTTCCGACGAGAGCTCCAAAGCGGCCACTAGCCGGCCGGCAACCACCCCTGCTGCGTCGAGGTGATCATCGCGGCCTCTTCGCCACCACGCCCGCAAGGTGTTCGGCATTTTCCCCACAAAGGTATGGACAGTGGAGACGAGTTTTTCTTCCATCACTTCCTTTGTTCATCGGATGATTCGTCGTCGGATGATGAAGATCTCGTGGTGGCTGCACTGGTCGTTCACGACCACATTCAACGGCAGCTTCCTCGGTACAGGGGGTCAGTCCCTGGCCACGCTCCCAACCTGAACCGCAACAGGAAGAGAGGCCACGCCCTGCTCTATGCCGATTACTTTGCCAACACCCCGCTTTTCAAGTCGGATAAATTCCGTCGCCGTTTTCGAATGGCAAGGCATGTGTTCAATCATATCCGAGAGGGAGTGGTTGCTCATGACCCATACTTCAAGTGCAAGACGGATGCCCTTAGCAAGCTTGGATTCTCCTCTTACCAGAAATGCACCGCGGCCATCCGCATGCTTGCATATGGAATTCCAGGCGATCTGGTGGATGAGTATGTGCGTATGAGTGAGACAACATGTCTGATGTCAATGTACAAGTTTTGCCCGGCTGTGATCGAGGTGTTTGGCCAAGAGTACTTGAGACAGCCAACTGCCGCTGATACAGAGAGATTGTTGGCGACCAACGCAACTAGAGGCTTTCCAGGCATGCTTGGCAGCATAGATTGTATGCACTGGGAGTGGAAGAACTGTCCATTTGCTTGACAGGGCCAGTACAAAGGGCATGTCAAGGCGTGCACTGTCATATTAGAAGCGGTGGCATCACATGATCTTTGGATATGACATTCTTTCTTCGGCATGGCAGGTTCTCACAATGATATCAACGTGCTACAGCGTTCTCCAGTCTTCGCGAGGCTTACAGAAGGCCACTCCCCACCTGTCAACTTTGAGATCAACGGCCACCAGTACAACAAGGGATACTATCTAGCAGATGTTATATATCCTCAGTGGTCAACTTTTGTGAAGACAATCTCGAAACCCCAAGGTGAGAAGAGAAAGAAATTTGCCAAATGCAAGAGAGTGTTAGAAAGGATGTGGAACATGCTTTTGGTGTGCTTTAATCCCGGTGGGTATCGTTCGAAACCCTGCACTGTCATGGGATGAAAGAAAGCTTTCGGAGGTGATGACTGCTTGTGTGATCATGCACAACATGATCGTCGAGGACGAGCGTGATGAGAGTATCTTCGACTAAGGATTTGATTATCAAGGTGAAAATATTGAGCCCCCGCACTAAGACCCAGCCACATTTGAACACCTTGCCCAATTCCACCGTGAGATGCGTGATTGACACACTCATTTGAATCTTCAAAATGACTTGGTAGAGCACGTGTGGATCACATTGGCAACCAATAGATGTATTGGCCCATTTTATGTTCAGTGTAGACAATTTCGATTTGGTTGTAAAACTATTTTAATTTTCAGACAAACATTTGGGTTGTAAAACTAGTTTTGATGAAAATATGGCTATTTTTGGCCGCGACGGACAGGATGGGGCAAAGGGATGGGGCCGCGCGCTGGGCGCACGGCCACCGCATCCCAGCCTCCCAGAACATGCCCGGACACGACCCCAAATCCCTACCCAAACGGACATAATTCAAACAAAATGGACGTCCGTTTGAGGTCGCACGATAGAGTTGGCCTAAGTCGGCACATGCATGCGAGACGGGTTTGTCAGCGTCAGCGTGACGTCATTGCGAGCAACTATTGTTTTCTAGAATCAGGATTTCAGATGCCTGACCAACAAAGTGCGTGTACACAGAAATAAAATAAACACATTTCAATGTGGAGTACTCCCTCCGTCTCATAATATAAAACGTTTTTTGACACAATAGTGCTTATTTACTTTGAAGTGTTATTACACTACTCTGTGTTGGCGTTAGGTAAGCCCTGGACAAGGCACTCGATCAAAGTCAACAACAGTTGCCTTGCGCCAACTCCATGCGTCCAGCATTCGACTGGCCCCATGCATGGCTTGCCATTGCCTGCCCCAATGCGCCCACGGGCCACAGCTCATCTCACCTCATCCGGACGAGCACGATGGCAGCCACTGATAAAAGGGCGCCGCGCGCGGTTGTTGAGCCATAACTATTAGGGTTGCTCGCGGCGCCAAGCTGCGCGTGCGAGTGTGTATATCCTCCCCACGCAGCGCAGTGGCCACACTCCACTCCACACATGCCACCAGAGCCAGAGCTTCTGCGTTTGGGAGGGAATGGAAGATGGCAAACACTTGGTACTGTGCACGCGCGCCACTCTGAAGACTGTACAACACAGAGTACAGTAGTATGCATTTTTTTATTACACGAAAAATGGAAAATGTATGTTGGTGGTAACTCGGAAGTAGTGTTGTCACCCTTCTTTCTTTTGTACAGCTTCGGCGCCGAGTACTTGCACGTCACAGCCATGAATGCTTGTAGGAGCAGGACGCATGCATGCATGCACTGGCTGCTAAATGCAAAACCATTAGGATATACTCCGCGGCGACCATGTGACGCCGATAGTGGCGGTGGATCCTTGTCTAACCATCACACGGCTCTGAAGACCCACGCACATGGCCGCCACACGTACCACCTTTTCCTCTTCCTTGCGACCTCAGAAAAGAATGACATACGGGCCAGCGTCGTAAAGAAAGCACCACTGCACGAAATTGTGCGCGAGGGTAGATCGCGCCTTGCTCCAGTTACACAGGAGGTTAACTCAAAGAACACAAGGTACTAAGCTCCGCTGTCTCCTGGGCGACGTCACTAGGGCGTGTTTATTGTGCACAAGGTTCGCAAATTATTCTCCTCGCCTCTTGTTCGTTGAGCCTAATGATGATCTAACCTACGCAGAGTTAATGAGAATGTTGTCGTCCAGCGAAGGAGGATGCATGCCCTGATGGGACACCGCACCAAATCGTGAAGGTGCATCAGTGAAGCCGAAGGCGATGCACGTCTCTTGCCGCCCTACATTCACTGCCACGTTGTAGTGCACTGCTAGAATAACAAGTGGGAAATCAGAGGAGTTATCTACTTTTGGACACGGGCAGCATGCTCTTATTAACTAGTCGTGCATGTGAGGTCAACCAAACTCGCGTGCTGATCAATGCGTGCGTGGAGGATGCAACATGCGCGCATGGCCTGGCTGCAAATCGTACTGACACCATCACAACACTCGAGATCACGGCGTCCATTTTATTTATTTGCAGTGGCCA